TAAGTGGTTTAAAAAAATTATGCACAATTATTATCTAGAATACTATATATCCACACACAAATTATATATACAGTACCATACAAAAGTTTTAGACTGTTTTAAATTATTATCAATTACTAATAATTACCATCTTATAAGCCAATGATTTTATTATTCTGTTAATAGATGAAATTTTAGCAATATTGGAGTCATTTTCATGCCTAATTATCATATTTTTTTAGCAGGGGTTCTGATTGAAGAGAGAAAATGCAAGACAATGTCCACAAATAGTCACGCAAAGTTTTTTGTCCATCTAACCATTTTTGTTTTCTCTTTTTGGTCCTACTGCTAAAAGGCAAATATTTTTTCAAAACAGCATAGATTTTTTCCTACATATAGGATAAATTCCAACATCAAATTCCTGCATTCTTTTATTATTTGAAATCATGGCAAAAGTTTCCAAAGAAACCAGGATGAAGACAGTAAAGATGGCCAAGAATATGAACCAGTGAGCAATTGCTAAGGAACTTGGACTGTCAAGATGTGGCATTTGAGAAATCTTCATGAAGTCTCAAAATACTGGAAGTGTTTTAAATTGATCAAACTATAGTTGCCTTCAAAAGATGCAACATTGGATAAAAATGAGAACTGATCAGGGCAGCAAAAAGCTCAGTGAAAAAAGGACTGATAGACTGATGGATTAATGCAACTTGTTTGATTTGGTGTCAGTAGATAATACTAAGTGTATCCTTCAAGAACATGGAGTGAAGAGATTCAATTCAATGAAGAAAATAGCTCTCAGTAAAAAGCATTTGAAGGTAACATTAAGTTGGTTAAAGTGGCATGAACTGTTGGATACAGCTACTTAAGATCACATTCAGAAATGAAACAAAGATGGACCTGCATTCTGATAATTGTGAATTTGTCAGATGGTCAACAAGAAAGTGAAATGATCCACATTACATAATAAAAACAGTGAAGTTTGGAAGGGTAAGAGTCTGCATGAAAAAGGGATGGTTCAAGAGAATTGGTTAAAATTGACAATAGCTTAAATAATGCCAAATATATGTTGTTGCTGAAGGAACATTTGATAACAGACTTGGATGAAGACAAGATTTTTTAGCATTATGAAACTCCATATCATAGACTGCATGCAGTACAACAGAGACTGATTGATGAATGTGTCACTGTATTGAAAGATTGGCCAAATTAGAGACCTGATTTAAATCATGGATCAAATGTTGTCAGAATTAATGAGCAGAATTACTCAGAAGAATCCACATGATCTTGAGTTCTGGGATCCCAACCAGAGGGAACAGTATCTAGTACCTGTGAACATGGTGAAGGATTTTTATGCAAACCATCCCAGGTGCACTGAAGCAATTATTCAAGCTACAGGAAGCCACACAAAATATTACCAATGTACATTAACTTCTTGAAATCAACATTATATAATAAGTCTTCATTACAGACATTTTTCTGTTTTAAAACACATCTGGCTTTGTTTATATGAGGTGGCTGAAATCTTTTACACAGCTATTTTTGAAGGTTGTCTTCCATGCTTCTTCAGAACCCTTTTTCAAAAATATATTTAGGTGTGAAAATTACTCCAATATGGCTGATTAACACCTAAGAGATAGACTGGTGGTTGGAGTAAGAAACGAGAAAATTCAATGACTATTACTCAGTGAAAGAGCATTAACATTGTATAAAGCTCTAGAAATAACTATTGAGTCTGCTACAAAATTCTCCAAGGAGATGCTAAGTGCACAAGGTGGGAGGGATGGCCAAGTGAATCTCCAACTTCGCTGCATAGTTTACCAAAGAAATTGGAGTGTTACCTCTGTGGAAATACCAACCATCTTGCAGACAAATGTCAAAGGGAAAAAACTGTTTTAAATGCGGACAAACAGGACATACTCAACGGAAGTACAGACAGGATGGTAATAAGAAAATTTGTGGAAAAATAAAAGAGGAAAAAAAGAACAGCAGTGAACAACATAGATGAGAAGTTGGAAGACTGCAGTGATGGAGTAGAGATGCGGGAGCTAAATACCATCATGACGTCACATTCGCCCAAACTTGCTGCAGGTAGAAATGCTGTTAAATAAGAGGAGGGTGATAATGGAGGGGGACACCAGAGGCTCGTGTTCAGTAATGAGTTTAAAGAAGTTTTAGGAATTAGGGATGTTAGAAAACTTGAAGGAGAGCTCCATAGAATTAAGGACCTATACTGGAGAGGTAGTGAAACCATGTGGTGTAACAGAGATTGATGGGGCATACAAAGGGACAGAGAGTCAGTTGCCATTATTAATAGTGAAAGGTAACAGGCCGACACTACTGGGTGGAAATTGATTGAAAAAAGTACGACTGGATTAGAGAGAAATATTTCCCCTTAGTAGGAGATGATGTTCCTTTGAAATTGAAGGAGTTGTTGGGCAAGTTTGAGTCTGTATTTAGTGAGGAGTTGGGTTGCTAGAAAATTTCAAAGTAAAATTACCAGTAGACAGAACAACAAGTCCTTGATTTTGTAACACTCATCCAATGCCTTATGAATTGAAAAGGAACTAACCCAGCTAGAAAACCAGGGTATACTTAAGAAAGTCAGGTATTTGCACTGGGCGGTACCTATAGTACCAGTATCAAAAGATAATAGTGGAGCTATTTGGATTTGTGGAAACTACAAGCAGACCATATATATGGCCGCTCTTTGTAGCACCTATCCATTGGATTGGATGAGAAAACACAAGAGTTACTCACACTAAACACCCATCGTGGTTGTACCAGCAGACATGCTTACAGTTTGAAGTGTATAGCGCTACTGGAATCTTTCAGAGAGAGAGAGAGAGAGAGATGGACAAAAGGTTAAAGGATACTCCTTTTTGCAAAGGGTGAGTGGATGACATTTTGGTTTCACCAGTCATCTTGTGAACCTGCGGAAGGTATTGTCTGCATTGGACAAAGCTGGTCAAAAACTAAAAAGAAACAAATGTCAGTGACATATCTTGAATTTTTGAGTTGGGCACATCAAGGCGGTGTAATGGTTAGCAAGCTTGTCTCACTAGAACAATTTCGATCCTCACTGGATGTCCCATACTTTCAGCCTTGTGCCACATCTAAGCTATGCTTGGAAAATCACTATCTTGAATTTTGAATTTGCAAAGAAAGTAAAATTCCCCTGGCTGAAAAGGTGACTGCGATGCAAGAGGCCCCTGCCCCCAAGAATATAACAGAGTTGAAGACCTATCTTGGAGCCCTAAATTATCACAACAATCATTTACCCAAAATATCCACTGTACTGAAACCCCTTCATCAATTGTTGAAGAAGGAAATAATTTGGGATTGGAGAGTCAATCAGAAGAAAATACTGTATTCAGCACCTCTGCTGATGCTTTTTGACCCCTCAAAGCCCATTCTGGTGCATGTTGATACTCTCCCTATAGAGTAGGGGTGGTAATGGTACATAAGATGGAAAATGGAATGCAGAAACCCGTGTGCTACCTATCTCGAATCCTGTCTGCCTCTGAAAGGAACTATGCACACCTACAAAAAGGTGGCTTGGCCCTGGTGTTCGCAGTTAAAAGACTCCATCAATATTTGTATGGGAATTTCTTCCATGTTATACATGGACCACAAGCCACTGCTGAAACTGTTTGATGAGAACAAACCAATTCCTCCTCTTGCTGCTTAACCTTGGGCACTATTCTTAGTGACTTATAAGGCATTGGAGTTCAGTGGTAATGCTGACCATCTCAGTCATCTTCTGGTAGTATCCCAAGAAGAGGATCATTCCATCATCATGAACAGAGTGAACATGATGGATTTGGTTGATTCTGAGCAGGATGCATGAAGCAATATTAAATAGCTGGAGGAACATTACTTTGTATGCACAATGGAGGCCTTACTTCATTAGGGAAGAGGAGTTAAGTTGTGAAGATGATGCAATATTGTGGGGGAAGTCAGGTTGTCATTAAAGTTAAAGGTATTGCAGGAATTCCATCAGAAGAACCTTTGAATTGTGCGCATGAAAGCTCTTGCTTGAAGCTATGTGTGGTGGCCAAACTTGCATGCAGATATCGAGAGGGCTTGCAAGACTTGTGAGACATGCTTACCAAAGCAAACCAAACCAAGCACCCATTCATTGCTGGTAATATCCTAGTCAGCCCTAAGAAAGGATTCATGTGGATTTTGCAAGCCCCTTTATGGGATTTATATTTATGATTGTCGTGGACACTTATTCAAAATGGAGGGAGATGTGTATAATTAATATGTCCATTGCCCAAGCCACAATAGAGAAGCTGAGAGGGGTATTCACCGCAAATGGCTTGCTGGTATTGTTAGTGAGTGATAATAGCCCCTGTTTTACCAGTGATGAATTCAAGCAATTCCTGAAATCAAATGGTATCCAACAAATGTTCACTGCTCTTTATCATCCCTCCTCCAATGGTTAGGCTGAGTGTACGGTGCGCATGTTCAAAAAGGTACTGAAGAAGTTAAAACTGGAAGGGAAAGAAGTTCTCAAAACCAGAGTACACAGTTTCCTATTTTCTTTTGCAACCACTCCTCATACAGCAACAGGAGTTTCTCCTGCTGAGTTGATGTTTAAATGTCAGTTACAAACTGTTTTTTATTTACTGAAGCCCAATACATATCACTGAATTCAGGGTTAACAGGCCAATATGGAACAGGGAACAAATGGTGATAAGTCCCCTGTGTCATTTCAAGATGGATGATTGTGTACTGGTATGGAATTTTGGGACTGGGGAGTGGTGGATGGAGGGCATCATTAGCAGACACCTGGGGGCTGTAAATTATGAAGTGGGAGTGGGTAGAGGTTTGATGAGGCAACATGTGGATCAACTAGTGAGACTCCCCTCCTCAAGAACGCGGTGAAAGTTGGGTCCAATGTGCCAGTGATAGAGGTACCTGAACTGCTTGAAGTTCAAGAAACCCTTGAAGTGTCTGGAGTGTTGACTGATTCTACAGCAAATGATGCAATGATTTCTCCAGGGTACACTGAAATGTCAAATGCTACCAAGATGCCTGAGGTTTGGGGGTTGGTTTGAATTCGGAAGTCATCATCCAGGCTTGGGGACTGGGTAGCAAAGTAAAGTTTGTAGGTATTGTGAATCATAATATTTACTGTAATGTTTTATTTAGTGAAATTTATGTATGTATACATTTAGGAAAAAACCTTTTGGATGGACTCATTAGGTCAAGAGAGTGGTGGTTCACCCCTGGTTGGTTATAAAAGATGAGCACTTGGACTAATCAGCAGTCACTACTGATGGCCATGCTGCTCTAATGGCAGCAAGTTGACAACTACTTATCATGCTGCAGAAACTAAATACATAAAAGTATGCATGGATGTATATCAATAAGTTGATAGCCTAATGATTTAACCTTTAGCACTCTGAAGTCAACTTTTTTTTATCAAGCAAAATGTTTGTCTTTCTAATGCAGGTGACTCTTATTACTGAAAAATAGTGTGTTTAAATTTCATGGTTCTGCTTTCATATCCTGTTATGGCAACAGCAAAAATTATCTCGAGTAAAATCAACAACAGAGCTAGTTCAAAAAAGTATGCAGTAGAAGGGGAAGTAATACTGTGAATAATGCAGAGTGCTAAAGGTTGAAAAATATTTACAGAAGAATTTTTCAATGTAATCTCTTTCCTTAATGTACTTAACAATTTTCTATAGATTTAGCATTATACAATGGACATTACAGATAAAAATTTCACCTAACAGTCTTGCCAGATTAAAGAGGTTATTGATTTACCCTTGTAAGCAAAGTAACATTTTAATATGCAGATAAGAATAATGCCTTCATCAATAAACTATGGTCAGGTGTAAGATCATATTGAGGAAAAAGTAATAGAGATAAAAAAAAAATCCAAAGTAGCTTTTTATCATTGTTTTTATCCTTATTTTTATCATGATTTTATGGTTAATACATTTTACTATTATTTTATCATTATTTTAATGGAATAGCCTTGGGCAGATAATAGTTAAATTAATGTTTTGAAAGACTGCCAAGAACTGTAAGTAAAAGTTATATGGAGAAATTGTTAAGTATAAAGAAATAAGCAGATTAGAAGAAAAATCAGTTTCTTCTTTATGAAAACAAATGAGTTCATTAAAAGTAGACAAAAATATTGTTATACTTTTTTGTAGCTGTGTATATGAGATTTGTTATTTGGAAAAACAAATCTTATATTTTTAATGCCACAAGATCATGGAAATAATGGCTTTTTGCTTGGTTTGGGACTCCCTGTTCTTATTGAGAGGATTTGAACTTTTTATTAAATTGTATACTCCACCGGAAAGAACAATTTTGATTTTGATTTAATGAATACTCCAATATCTAGAACTTGCTGAGGCCACTGATTAGGCAAAGTTTTGTACGGAATGAAAACAAGTGAGAAATTTTGAAAATGACATTGGAAGAATTTTCTATACTTGCTCTGTTATAGTAGATGCTGTCATGCAACAAAAATTACCAGTTTGCTTCTGTCTAGAAAATGATCTTTTGTCTACCAAAGAACCATTCAAATGTGCCAATTGCTCACTTTGTAGATGTAATCTGTTCAAATTCTAGCAATTCCTCATAGATTTCCAACTGAATTCTAAACTCCAAGAATATTTTTCCTTTTAAAAGATTCCACTTAGGTTGAAAAATTGAAAGCTGTTTCAGATAACTGTAATAAATCCATTTTTATTAGCATTTACTAAGATCTTGATTCAAATGTAACTTTTTTTCTGCTGAGTAAGAAAAGAAAACCAAAAGTTGACCAATATTTGCTTCTTTAAGCTTGTAAGTAATGTAGCACAATTTACTGATTCACCTCTATTTTTTCTACGAGTTTGTGTTATTTCTGCTGTTTCTTTCTTCAAAATTTCATCTCATTCATCAGTTTTCAAGTTCTGACACCTTCAGTGTTCTTTGTGCTTCCGATCAAAATCTCCGTTTTTTTTTTTTTTAAAGCTTTGCAAATTACTAGTTCCTACTGTATTTATCTCAGATTAAACACAAAAAGTAAATAATATTAAAGGAGCTTTTATTTTTCCTATTTAGTTGTATTTTTCACTAAATAAAGTAAAATTATCACTTTTCCTGTTAACAATTTTTAAAAGAGTATGCATGTACAAGCCATTAAGAGCTGAGTAAGTTTCAAACACTAATATTTTTCCTAAAGTTGTGAAAAAAAAAAAAGCAAAAAAAAAAGCAGAAAACTTTTGCACCAACCTAATATATATATACCCATACATTCTATAATATATTAGTTATAAGTGAAATATGTTTGAAAGTAAGCATATTTCGAACCTTTCTCAGATCATCATTGTTCAGGAGGAAACTACTACTACTAATCTACCTCCAAAGTGATAAATCTAACAGATACCAACAATAGTGACTGACTGAATAAACAAATTGTTAAACCAGATGAAATGCTACAAATCCAGTCAGGCTTAAAAACCTGGACAAACCCTGAATGGAAGGCGTTATATGAGGATTCCAGTTGAGAAATGTGCAACCACATGAAAGAATCTAAGCTAAAATAGCAGATAAGAGACAATAAAAAAACTTAGATTCATGCCATCAAGTATATAAAATAATACATTTTTAAGACAAATCAATCCATCTTAGTTATTTGATGTGAGATATTTTCTATCAACTTTTCTTCTTTTTTCTTTTAGATAAAATAGAAATTAATATCTTTTTTTATATAGTATTTCTTTGAATTTAAGTAGGCTGGAAAACAGAATCTCATATGGTTTTCAAATATAATCAGTGCTTCAAAAACCATGATAGTTTAAAGTTCATTGTTTACATTTTTGTCACATGAAAAATATAATAGTGAAGAGATTTAAAACTAAAAGTTTCAAGAAAAAAAATTATTATTAGTCATGTTGGCTGTATCTTACTCATTGGAAGGAAAAGTCAATATGGAGTTTTTGAAGATTATATTATTTTAAATAAGCAGTGCAGATATAATTTTGAAATTTGTTCAAAGTTTACAAATTATTTTTTACTTCATTTTGGATTTGTAAGTTTTGTAATTTAGATCTTTTTTTTTCTAAGAATTCTGTTCAGTTTATTAGAAATCAACAACTTTTACTCTAGAATGTTTAATTAATCATTCCTATTCAGGTGATTTTTTTTCTTTTTAGATGTTATAAACTGGGTCACTGAAATTGCTTGCAGAATATTGTATAAATTGAGAAAATGAAACCGCATTTGTCTATTTTACCCAAAACTGGTTTAAGTGTCATGTGATGACTTGTCACATGATATAAACCCCCAAAGTAGATAACCATCACTTGTTGAATATGATGCTTTAAAATGCAAAATAAAGAATCTGAGTGTTAATTGAAAAGGCATCAGTAGATTACATGATATATTTATCTGGTGTTAACAATTGTGTAAAAGAAGAAATTAGTGAACAATGTTAGAAATTATCTCATTTGTGAAGTTGGTTCAAAGTATTTCGAAATATTCACATACACACATTGTTATTGATCACCTATACTATAGAAAGTGGCATAAAGACTGATTGAAAATTAACTAGCCATGAACCATTTAAGATGAAGCTGGAGTGGCATCAAGTTGTTAACTTCTGACCAATATAAATGGAAAGGATTGACTGCCAAAGAATCAAAGAATGAAGTAGTGTTGATTGACTGAGGAGACATTTTTTTAAATCCATGTATTAAAGTATTTCTCTTTTTCCAATGTGCCAGGATTATGAAGTGCAGTTATATTCTTTTCTAAGAAGTTATCTTGTAAAATCAGGATATATTTTATTCTTACATCTTATAAAATGGTAAATATATATACATTAACATTCATCAATGTTTATTGTTTAATTCATGTTAATATCCCAAGAACATTTTGTTTATGCCCATATTACATTGAAACACCAGTTCTTGAAGTTAAGCAACCTTGAGCCTGGTTAGAGTACCTAGATGGGTGACCACTTCTTGGGAATATCAGGTGCTGTAAGTGTGGATGTGTGAGTGGTGTAATAATTGTAGATAATGGTTTGGAATTGGAAATTGGAGCTCCAAGTTCCAATTCCAGTTGTGTTCGTTATATTCGCTTGCGCACAAATACCCTTGGGAAATAATCCATCTCTTAATTAGTAGGACTCTTCACTTAGTAAATCGTTATTATCTCCAAAAAAAATTCTTACAATCGAAAAACTATTTTTTAGTTTTAAATAACCTGCAAAAAAAACAAAAAAAAAAGGTTGAAAAGCCGTAAAAAACAAACAACCAAATCAATCAATCCCACCAAAAAAAAATTTAAAAATATAGAAGTGATATTCTGAATAGACATTGAAATGAAACAAAAGTAAAAAAAAAAAAAACAGAAAGAAATGAAAAAAGAAATAATTTGAAAAATGTTTGTTTGTGAATAGGCACAATTAAAAAACACTTTTTAAAACAGATATTTCTAATCAAAGTTTAAAGAGAATATTGATTTTAAGAGTAGATAAAAACTAATAGGTACAGAGAGGAAGAGAGAAAAAAACAAAAATTAAACAAAAACTGCTTTTATTAGATTAGGTCATGTGCCAAATGTAGTGGAATGTCAAAGGGAAATGAAGAAGTAATCAATTTAAATGCTGATTTCCTGCACATAAAAAGTATCAAAGAAATGTTTCCTTTATAAATCTTGTAAGTTTTTATTTTAATCATAGACAAGGTTGTTTCTCTCAAATAGGTTTAAATCTATAGCGGTAAAAAAATTCAAATGGAACTAAAAAAATCTCAAGACAACACAACAAAAATCATGAAAGTTTTTTGCCAAAATAAATGCCTGCAAAATTCAAACATTTTCACACTTAAATAATTCCATTAAGATTTTATAAAACAGGAAATATTATACCACAAATATATTCTATGCATTGAAAAAAAGAAATTAATGATAATTTGAAATAAAACCATTCTTTTCCAGCTATCCAAATTTATGTGGTCTAAAAATATTTTGAATTCAAATTGCTTCTAGGATCTAGATTACTAAAAACCTTTGGTTCAACAAAGCTCTGAAAAAACATTGTAATTATGCCTTTTCACTAATTAGGAACAATTTAACTGTCTAATTAAGCTTTCTGGGAAGTTGAATTGTTTTCTTTGTAGTAGTGTAAAAAACATTTTTTTTTATAATTCTCATTGAAATTTGGTCCTTTTTTTTTTTTTTTTTTAAAAAAGTATTTCTGGAGACCAAACAGGTGAAATTACACTAGCAAATACTAAAAAAAAAAAAAAAAAAAAAAGAAAAAACAGAAAAGAAAAAAAGTCAATTGAATTGAATGTATAAGGTTTCTCCTTCGGTTAATGAAGTAATTAAAAAAAGTGATTTCGTTTTTATTAGATAGATGAAAATTACATGGGCTTCTTGTGAAACGTTCATAGGTTTGGACTTGGTAGAAAGCATTTTTAACTTTTAAGTGAAATGGTTCCTAAAGATTTGGGGGAATAATTTGTAACCTGATTGTTCTTAAGTTTTTCACAATTTCTTCAGACTATTGATTGTCATCTTTAAAATAAACAATAAGGATTGAACTGTGTATTGAAACTGAAACAATGACATCAATTTATTTTACTACCCTGTTTATGTCACTCTTGGTCTTGATTGATGTTTTTTTCGATCAATGAAGAGAAGACTATGTGTTTTGGCTTTAAGATTTGTTTTTATGCTATCATTTTTTTCCCGATTTATGAATCTGAGAAAGATCAAAGTTTATTTTAATTAAATTTACCGTATAAAAAACATGAAATTTGTTAAAACTTATTCCTAACACACTGCAGTGTGTTAAAAGAGCTTGTAATAAGCCTATACTTTTTGAAACTTTAAAGAAAAATACACAAGAAATGAAGTGAAACAATAAAGAAACAAAAAGAAAATATCATTTAGTTATTGTACTAGAATAAAAAAAAACAAATTTAAGTATTTTTTATTATTAAGATGTTGAGTAAAAAGTTGTTTAAAGCAAAATAAAATAGACGTGAGACTAGCTGTTTTTTTACTGTTTTAAAAAGTAAACATTCTAGTCACGTCAAAGGAAAAATGAATGAAAAAGACAATGAAAAATAAAAAGAAAACAGATTGTGCAATTTAAAATATGGATGTTAACATCATTGAAGAAACAATGAAATTCATCATCAAAATAAAATCCCAGGAAACAAATAAGATAATAATAATAATAAGTGACTTTTTTGATGAGTTTTTTATTCTATTTTTTAATTTTAAGTGACATTTCAACACATGAAAAATTAAGTTGTTGGACCTTTTTTTTTTTTTTACATTTCTTCTAGTAAAGTAATCGACATTAACAATATCTCTTTAAAAAAAAAAAAAGAAGAAGATAAATGATTACCTTGTTCGGAAAAATCTTTTGATAAGGAATCTTCTCCAAACACGAAAGGCATCTTTGCTCGGATATCTCGCTTGTTCATCGTTGGGTTCTACTCGAGGTTGACTAACAGCACATCTTGCTTCGGCCATCGTAAACAGGCAATAAATAAAGCCCTTATTTTAATAATGTTGGTCTTACAGAATCAATTTCATGTTTCTTGTTAGCAAGATAAAATAAAGAAGAAGGTAATGTTTAACGCGTGTTGTTGTTGTTGTTGTCGTCGTCGTCGTCGTCGTCATATATTGAGTGTTTTGATATGGTAACTTTACTTTTTGTCGGCTGCAACATAGTTTGGTTATCAATGGGAACGTTCACGGTATTAGCCACTCGCTATAATTACAACCAATCAAATCATCGGAAATTTTAAAGCAGAAAATTTCATTGGTTAGTTTATCAACAGGTTTACACTTTTGGCTATTATATTGAACGTCAACACTACTCTCATCCCCGAAGCTATTGCGCTTTTAAATTTACAGCTGATCGCATTAAAAATGAGTCGTTTTATTCTTTCATCTATTTTTATTTCAGTTGTTGATAATTTTATATATTTGAAATAAGTTAAATGCAAAAATGCAAATTATTTCTGATACGCTATGCGCGCACTCGCGTGTGTGCGTGTTTGTTTATGTCAGTGTGTATGTGTGGTTTTCCCGCAAAATTGTCACGTGACTATTTACAGTCTCGATGGCGAGGGACTTGATAGTAGCAGCAAGTTAACACTTCCTTAAATCTTGTTTCATTTGCAAACCGGGTAAGTAATTTTGCATTCATCTTGGTAAACGTGTCAAAAGCAGAAACAATAGAAAGTAGAAGAAAGCCTTAAAATTAAGAAGCAGGCCAGATGGTTGAGCGATCTTATCTGACTTATGTTTGCTGTGCATTTGGCAAAATGACAAAGCTCTGTGCAACTTTATGTCTTTTCTTGTCGGCCATTACAAATTTCAAGTCACTCAGGTTTTACTTTTAGGAAACCTTTTTTTTTGTCCGATTTGCATGGCTTATTTCATTTGCTTTAAGCCCTATCGATTGTTTTAGCTTACCTTCTACACTAGGATCACCAGATGAAACTGACGATCAACCTTCTCTATATTTATCAAAAATACATCATTAATAATATCAAACAACACACACTCTCGGCTTTTTTTTTTTTAAATCTTTGTACGAATAAAATGTTGAAATGAAAACCTGAAATCCTTTGCAGTAATTTTATTTATTATTCTCTACTGAATTTTATAGCGTATGAATAAGATTTGAAATTAAATCTCATTAAGATTATTTAAAATAAAAACAAAATCGTTATAAATGAGATCTGCGTCCCAACTTTTAAAAATAGCTTTTGAAAATGAAATAAAAATTTATTTTTGGTTAAAATTTGTTAGAATAAAAGAAGAAAGCTAGTTTAATACCTTTTTTATTCTTTAAAAGATGTACTTTTTACTTATCTTTTATTCATTTCCCGATATTGAGAAAAATATTTTCAGCCTTATTTGTTGTAAAGAAATTTAACATGAGAAACAACTCGGCCATTTTTTCTTTTTATAAATGTCTATCAGTTTTAAAAAATATTATAATAACATTTTCTTATTAATGATCATGATAATAATTTGACCTCGTCGTCCTACCTGAGTGATCGCAGCAGATGAAGACTTTGTTTTGTTTGTCTCTGTAGCAACAAATAAAATGTTACACGTGAAGAAAGTAAAAAAAAAAAAAAAAAAAGAAAAAAATATTTTTAAAATAAGAGAAACGTGGTTAAAAATGAAGGAAAAAAAATATATTCCTTTTTATTTGGAAGGAATATTTTTGAATTCATTTTGGAGGTGAAATGACTAGTATTAAAAGAGGAGATCGTCATCAAATAATGTCCTTAATTGTTTTTCTTTTATTGTTTGGAAATGATTGCCAATCAAAACAAGTTTTAAAAACATTTTTGAAGATTTTTTTCTTTTTATTTTAAAACTGACAGAAACTGATTTTCTTACGCAAAAAACAGAAGGGAAAATATCACTTTTTTTGTGTACCACATTGATAATAAAAATTGTATTTAATTTAATTAACTAGATAGCAACATTTAATCACGTGATCACTTTTTGTAAAACATCCTGTAGACAAGTCAATGGAATAAAAAATGTCATTCTCTTTTGAGCTTTATTGTTTTGTACTGAAAATTTATATAGTTGTACAGATCAATTTCCAGCTCCGTTTGATCGCGATATATGAAGGAAAATTAAAGAAGAAAAATTTAAGAAACAACTTAAAACCTTTGGTGAGGCGATATATGCATTCTAAATCATTATTGACGACCGGTTTATTCTTTGCTTTCTCTCTTTCTAGTAGTAGGAAGAAATTGTTTTACGATTTTATTAACTTTATTCCTACTACAACTACTACTGTGTGTGTGAGAGATAGATACATAGAGATAGAGAGATAGATACATGAGAGATAGAGAGATAGATACATAGAAAGCCCCAGTCATTTGTTTGATTTATTTTTCGATTCACTTTTCAGCATTTACACATGATGAATTTGAGAAGAATATTGGTATAAAAAACCATTTTTTATTGTCACAATTATTACAATACATTACAATTATTAAGTCAAAAACTCATGCACATGCGCTTTCTCCCGGAAAAATTAGCTATTATTAATTAATCTTTTGTTAGTCTTTTTTTTTTTTTTTTTTAAACATTTATTTTTAAAATATGTGTGTGTGTGTAATTAATACGTATATTCAATATTGTAACATTTTTTTTAGGAATTGTGGAAATAACGTTAGGAATTTCCGTGAAAAAAAATTACTCCTCTTTTTCTTTATAGTGTTAGTAAGTGTAACTTTAAAGTTTAAATCTCCGCAAATTTGTATCTATGTCCACGGAAGAGACATTTAGCTGAAGAAGATTATATAGCGTGTATTTTTCTTGATTTGTCTTTTACAGTTTTCACTTGAAGCCTTCCTTGTTTAAAAAATGAAGTACTTGATTTTTCGTAGCAGACACAAGTGTGAAACTCTGAAACATGATCTTTAAAGAATTAGTTTTTTTATTTTTTATTTTCTGGCTTTTTTCATCCTGTGTTGCGTTGATGGACAATTAGAAAAGAGATTTTAATGCACAGATTCTATTACTTTCAGTTTCTATCTGAAGTTACTTTTTAAAGTGATCATTTTACTTTACTCGTGGCCATTCTTCTGTCACTTTTTTTTTTTGCATTTGAAGAAAAAAAGTTAATTGGATGAATGATGAGATGAAGGAAGACAGAATGATGTGGCACAGTAGTAAGAAAAAAAGGGGTATTATTATTAAGTGTTTTTTTATTTCTTTCTGGAGACTAGTTTTTTTATTTGAAGATTTTAAAAGTCTCTTCTGTACTTTTATTTATTTTTCTTCGGTGGCATGTCTATTTCAATTTGGCTGGAATGGTTTTTGCTTGATACATAAGAATTTTCATTCAATTATGTTCAACTCCTTTGTTGCTTTTTGGACTGTAGAGAAAACTGAACAGTGTGAACTATATCGATAATACTACTACTTTGCTATTAATTACTACTACTATTGCGTCAAACAAAGAGAAGTCTGTGGTCAGTACCACTTTTATTTGTTTCAACAGGTTTATCTTAAACCTCCTCCAACAATAAATAAATCAAAATAAGACCTTGAACTAGAGCGAAAAAAATGTTCTTTCAAATTTTTCAAGATAAAACGTGACTTGACGTAAGAAGAAAAAAATCTTTTTCAAGTCATTTAAAAAAATAAACTTCCACTTAGATCATTTTTTCATTTCAACTGTTTTACTTTTACTTTTAAACACTAACAGTATAACGCTCATATTTTTGTGCTTTTTAAATTGGTTTGAAATTTGGTTGTTAAGCCTTAAAAAAAGTTTGTTTTAAAATTTTGACACCTTAAGAATCTACAAAAATAGAAAATCAAATAGTCTTTTTTTAATTATGCATTAAGTTACCAAGCTTCCATTTTCATATTTGAAAAGCTAATTCTTGTCCTTAATAAATTTTTGGAATATCTTATTTTCTCTCTTTGTTCTTGAAATCTTTATCCATATCATCATCATTTATTTCTCTTTCTTTTTTATCTTGGATTTTATTTTTAGAATATATTTTTTAAGTTTGATTCTACATTCCATTCTTAAGGCAAGATGTGTAAAAAGTTTCACTATCCTTGTAGAACTGAAATATCTTTGAACATTATATTGTTTTTTGTTTTGTTGTTTTTTCCTTGTTGTGAACAAATGTTCAAATGAAGCCAGTAAGAAGTCAATACAGCTGTTTGTGCAGCTCCTAAAAAATGAAGGGAATAGTACTAAAAACTGTACAAATACAGTTACGAAAAAAAATAATAGGTGCTAAAAATGTGAAAGATGAAAATTGAAAAGATAATTTGTGTACTTGTCTTAAACCTTATTGTATTACAATGTCTTCTCAGCTGCTATTCCAGGTATTCTGTTGATTAAAAGTAAAATGACAATTTTTTTTTTTTTAATTTTCAACATTATTAAAAAATATATTAACTTCTTTCATTATCTATTTGCCATTGTTTAACAAGCATTATAATTATATATCCTTCCAGAACTTTGCAAAGAACTGCCCTAAGTGCTTTTTGTAGCCTTTCCTTTCAAGGATTGATTTTTTTCCCCAATTTTTTAAAGGCTAATAGTTGCAATATCTGTTGACTATGACAGATGAGTGAAAAATTCCCATTCAAGCTGTACTATTGGTCATCAATGCATTATTATGATAGAATATTTTGTCCTTTCTCCTTACCTATTCTGAAGGCTTTTGGTTAATTGATATTTTCAGTTAATTTATTTAAGTGTAGTACTTTCTGCAATTGTTTGTTTCTCTGAAGAAAGCCGCTAGTAGATCATTTCCTTCTGATGCTATACATTTATTTTTTTAACTTAACATTATCATCCTACAAATACTTGCAAAAAACTTATACTTACTTGATTATAATATAATTTGTTTTTTTTTTTTTTTAGATTTTTGTTAATTCAAGCATTAAAAAATTTTAACTCTTTTTAATAATTTCAGATTATAATTTATAATTTTGTATAAATATTTGAATGTTTCGAGTACATTATATGGCAATTTTCTCTCTCTTCTCCATGTATATGAAATTGAATTTCTTTACCAAATCATTTTGAGATCTATGAGGTTGTTAAATTGTTTATTTTGCTTTGATCATGTAGTATTAAATCTTATCCAGACTGAAGATTTGATAGCTTGTGATGCTATTTTTTTGCTTTAATGTTTCGTAATTCACTTTTCTATCATGTTTGTGTGTGTTTCTAATGAATCTCATGAAAATTCATTACTTGTAAAATTTAATACAAAATCTGCTTAATAAATTTTTTTTCTCAATTTGATATTGTCATAAATACATAAGGAAATGCTCTGAGATTTGTTCAGACACAAAACATTTGGTCTTCAATTTAGGTTGATATTTTTGGACTCTTGATGTTTTTACTTTTTAACATTTTTAGAGCCCAACTTCTGCATAATATTTTAAGCACTGTTTGGAAAGCAAATTTTGATTCCTAAAAATGTTTTTCTTCTTCAGACTTTAATTTAGAATGGCTCCTTTGTTCTTGGGGAAATAGATCATGTTGATTATCTTGGACATTGAATGCAATTTGATAAGGTCATTAAAATGTATTCCAACTTGCATATTGATGGCTGCATTTAGCAACAACTGCAATGTGTCTGTGTCATGACTAAATAGATATACAGTGTAA